CACACACACACACACACACACACACACACACGTGTCATAAAGTACTTTAAGAACATTTCTTTAATGTGTATCATGCTTTTTTTTTCAATCAAAAACAAAATTATTTAATACAATACAATATACAAACCCTACTGTTAATGAATGGTATGGAAATAAATAAATATGAGGATTATATAACATTTACACTCCCACAGAATAAGGACAGGACCTAATCCAATCAAGAAGTTATTTTCTCCAATCTACCTTTTAACACAGAGCGTCACTTAGTAACTTAGCAACCCTTTAAGTATGCCCTACTATAAGTAAATAATTCATACATGTGAACAATATAGTACTGAGACCAAAACATACACAATAGGCTTTTTAGTTATGTCCAATTTCAATGACAATTACCAAATGAGAGAAATAAATTCATATTATTTTAGCCAAAATACTCAAATAATATATCTACAATTACATGTAAAACATAAACACAGTAATTTTATTTACTTAGTATGCTACTGTCTTGTTTATCTAACTTTACGTAGATGAAAAGAATGAAGTTGTACAAACACAGGTTTATAATTTCATAAATGTTTAATGAAAGATTTTTTTGAAGCAGAAAACAAAACGCTGCAAAGTATATTAAACTGGTATACCAAAAGAAACACTGGAAAACAGTTGAGTAGAAAGGTTTGTAGTCTGGTATAGAAACTGTAGTGCATTAGCTAACAAAGGAGGTTTAATCACCTCAACTACTAAACAATAAAAATGGAGTCAAAAGGTTTTTTTTCTGTAAATGTCACAAAAAAAAAATTAAAATCTCTGTAGTTTCATGTACAGTGAAACAAAACATTTTTAAATTGCTAATTTTGAATTTCTCATGCTTTTTTTTCATGAACCACTGACCCCAATAAAATAATGTTTTTAACTGTCAGAAAATCATAGTAGGTGTTGTTTTGTATTCAGATAAGCATCGGATAAAAAAAGAAAAAAGAAAGGAAAATCAATAAGCTCAAAAAACACACCGAGCATTTATTCACTACGGTATATAAAAAGTTGTGAAATAAACTATGCTCAGAAATAGTTGTTTATTGTCTATGTAACTAAAGCATATTCATGAGCAAATAAAACACCAATACTGCTATGCAGACAATTTTTCAAAGCCTGATAACCAAACATGTAACACATGACCTAATTTATTGTTTGTATATCCGACATTTGAATTTCTCACAGAAAGCTATACTACACTGCATACAAATAGCCACTATCAATAAAGTCTTAGTTAAAAGATAAGCTAAGCTATAAATTTACACTTAAATTTATCATGTAGACATATACTTCAGAGACATTTTCTTGTTGTTGTCTTTTTTCCTATGCAATATTTATTATAAATTGGCAAGCAGAAATAACCTTTCAGTAAGTAGATTCTACATGGTCACTTTACAACTATAACTTTACTTGGTTCAACCCCAAAGGTTTAGATTAAAATAGAAGGCCAAGCAAAAAAAAAAATATGTATGTTTAGTGTCCCCACCTGCTTCCCTCTTTGCAGATATCTCCCCTATTTTTGGGCCAACTTTTTTCCTTTTTTGAATTATCATTTTTCGATTGTACACAGAAAAAAAGAAGACTTCTGAATAAACAATGAGATTAACACAGTTGACTTATTTTGCCCTTTTCTTTATTTGTCATAAAATATCGTTTTGAAGAAAAAAGTAAACAAAGAAGATTTCTGTTTGACATGGATCATTTGAAAACAAGCAACAAACAGGAAAAAAAAGAATGTAAACTACCTTTCAAAGAGGTCATTAAAAAAAAAAAAGACCTCCTTTTCTTTGAAAGTTCTGGATGCTAAACATATTTTTCTCTGTTACTTGGCCTAACCAGCTTCTTTTTGTATTATTATTAAATAATCTATATATATTTGATTAAACTCGCATGTTAACTATAGTTTTATCCTTGGTGTCTTACCAATCTGATCACAAGTTACATATTCAATCATTTCTATAAAGATTTCCAACACCACTCTGAACCATGAAAATTGTCATGAAATATTCTATTTATCTTAATATTTTTTGGCACAATGAAAGATAATATTTTTAATAAATATTTCAGCCAACTATCCTCAGTAACACAGCCTTGATGATGGTAACTGTGTTACCTAAACTACTCAGCTGAAAGATCTAACATATTTGCCCAAATACAATGCACACTTTTTTTCTCAAAATACCTCCAAAAAATTTGACTGCACATTATATTCATGCATGTTTGGTTTTGTTAGATATTTTAATAGAAGCTACCACCGAAAATCAATAAAGCATCATTAAAGGTTTCAAAAAATGTTGCATATCCAATGCAATGGATAGGACGGGTTCAAGGAAATAAATGTATTGAATCTGATGGTAACGACAATACTAGGGATGAAAACTTATGTGAAGATGAATGATTAGTGTATTACCACGTATAGATTTTCCATAAATTCTGTAAAACTGACATGTAAAAAAAAATTCCATGAAAGATTTCCAAAAATGTTTAATACATCAAGTTATTTACTGTATTTAGAAACTATTCAATACATTTTGCACAACTGATGTGTAAAAAAGCAAGTTCTCGTCAATTTAACCTTTCGAAATTGATACGATAAATATGTTATCTTTCACTACATCAAACGTTTTTAACCCTTAATTTGATTTACTTTTCTTATAAATAACAAGTTTACCAAGTTCAAATGAATACTTAGAATCATAATTACAACATAAACACATTTGAAATCTTGCTTTACATAATGTATTAACTTACTCATAACATGAAACTCAAGACTCCCAAGAAAATTATACTTTATTTTCAAACTACAGAGTAAATAATATCTTCGAAGCTTGAGAAGAAATGAAGTTTGATACGAATTTTTATTTAAAGTAATGGTATATTTACCTGTTCTTAACTTTAAGTTATTATTGATTACCCAAGAATTTGCACATGTTAAAAATCAAATGACAAGAACAGAATAATGTACAGATATTTAAAAGTTTCGTTTTAATTGCTGGGGTTCTAACTGATACAAGCAAGCACTTAATTGCACAATGACCAGTTATTTTCAAGATGTATTAACAAACAGAACTACAATTAAACTGAACCAGACAGAAATATCTTACAAGACAGATAAGAAAACTTTTAATATCAAATATACATCAACTAAAACTGAGGCTTACCTTACTTATAGGAACACATTTTGGACAGCAGGGTCTCACAAAGGGATGTAGCAGCAACTTTTCTGGCATATTGGAAGAGTTGGTTTCGAACTGGCCCACGCCATAATACTTCGGCTATGTGCCAAAATTAAAACAAGGAGGGAGCTATAAATAGTGCAACTCAGAATACCTAACCATCACAGTTATACTATTTATTATACAAAAAAAAAATTTTGTTCATGCAACATCACCCAAAACACAAATGTACTTGTACAGTACATAAAAAACATAGGTTGCATAATTTACAACCATTTTCACAGCAACAGTGGTAAGTGTTAAGCAACATGGAATACTTATAACATTAAAACCCACAAAACAAATGAATCTAGCAGAAATTAAAACAAGTATTATCTTAACTAATATGAATAGAAAAACTTGCCAGAAATATTTCCTGTTGTGGGGAAATAAATGATATGGTTTAAAAATTACATTGATACTGTTACAGCAAGTTAATACTGCTTTTGAAAATAGCATGGTGTAAAATGCTGACAACCGCCAATAATATTTTAAAATTTGACATTATGGTTAATATTTTCACACCCAGTATAAAGCTTTGTCAAAAATCTTTTTTTTTTGTATTTGATCAAAACAATTGGAGTTCTTTTTGAATATGTTTAATTCAATGTGCCAATAGATTCATAGTCAAAAATGAAAACGTGTAGTGGACCTTTTACAAATTTACAGATAGTACCCATTCATCAACAATTACGCTAACTTCAAAAAAATATAATAAGAAAACACTTAGAATATAGTATGTGACTACCGGACCCTGCAGTGAAACACAATTTATTACCAAGTGTCATGCTGAACTATGCTGTTGCTGCACATTTCACGTTTGGGTGTTCATCATGAAGACTCTACCTAAATCATCTATAAAGAAACATGATTTATTATCTTCCTTTGCAGGCAGTACTTAACGTGTTATATTAGGACTAGAAAATACTGTTCTAAAGTATGAATAATAATACTGCTTATTTAAAGCACATACAGATCATCAGACACACAACAACTATTGTTGCCTGCAGCACAATCTTAATTCCCTGGCTTTGCTGTTAGTACATGTAGGTCATCACACCGTTTCTGACATGGCTCTGTGCACAATAATGTATCAGCAAAACATAAAGGAATGAAATACCCTACACAATAGTGTAAAACAAACCTTTTTTAATCTTTGTCTTTTTTATGTAGACAGCTCTAACAGCAATGGACTGTATATGCAGGACATGTTACACCTTTAACAAGCCTTAACACCACAATTGAGAATGTTGTATACAATGATGTAATTGCTTTTTAACTCTAAACACTGTAGAATGAAAATGTCAAGTAATTGTGAAGTGGTGTCTAAAACTGTCAGGAAACCAGCCCGATATCTTTTTATTATTATTATTATGCAATATCCAATAATATGAAGCCTAACACTTTGAATAACAATGTTTTGATAGTGTCAGGTTATTTTGCCAACATGATGCTATAATAATGAACATTCCAAAAAATATGACAAATGTGTCTGGTTGCTTGGGTCAAATAATGTTTCAGTAGTGGACATACTAGAAATACAACAATTATATTTAGATACTTTGTACACAACAGTGTTTAATACAAGTTGAGTACATTAAAACAATTTTGAGGCTTCACTACATCATAGTCTATGTGTAATATAAGAATATACCATGGGTTTCTTCTTTCTGAAGTAATATATAATATTTAGTCTAAATAGTTTCTTCATTTTCTCTGCATGTGGAAGTTTTCACACAAAATTGTGACCAAGAAAAACTGTTAGGATAATCTTGTTTCAAGTTATCTATGGTCTTTTGTCGTGTTCAAAGTATGTGACACCTTCCACTGCCTATGGTTTCAGGATGTCGAGAGCAACGTTCTTCACTCATTGTACAAGTAACATCTTGTGGGATGAAAATGACCAGTCCTACTAGATAAATGTCAAGTTGACCCTGGTTTTTGAACCTAGTACGAAGAGACTGTCAGAAGGCAAGCAAATACACCCACTGTGTTTTTTTAAACGTAATAAAAATTGTTATCACTGTGTCCTACACTTTGTTCACTTATTGCTTGGCATTAATTCAGCCAGTATAAATTCCACATCCTAATTGAATCTCTTATTTGGGAGGCTAATCTAACATAGTTCAAAAATATTTTCAACTCAATTTAAAACACTACATTTTGCCACATTCAGTCGTGCTCTGTCTAATGAATACATTTTGACAATAGCCCTGAAGCATAGTTTCCACAGCAAAAAAACTCAATGACAAGGCTGTCATGAACAAAGCACATACCTTCTCCCTGCAAGTTTTCCATAAGGCATCTAGTGTATGAAAATGACAACTTAACTCAGTACCTATTTCAACAGTCAAATTGCTTACAGAAATCAACAGGCACTATATCCAGTGACATAAAGTGTATGTTACTGCATGGAATAGCACAAATACTTGGTTCATTCTCCAGTTGCTTGACAGCTGAACAGATATATCAGGGAAGAAAACTATGTGCATGTGACCTGCAACACTTTTCCAGAAAAACAACCTTCTTGATTATGTTCCATACTGTTGTTTGGGATATTTGTATGGAATAACATGAATACTGAACACTCATTTCATTCTACAGCTTTTACACATGTGATGCATTTCCAGATAGGGAACTTTCTTGATTATACTAAATATTGTTGTCTGGGACACATGGATTCTTTTTTTTCACTAAACTTTGCATTTGTGGATTATCCCGTTTTAAAAATTACACTTCGCTTACCAAAACTACGGGTGTAACTTGTTGTAGGTCTCTTTCTAGATGATACTGGTGTCCCAAGTTGATTCATATTCTTTTATTTTCCAATAACATTAAGTACAAGGGACATTTCTGTCTTGAAAATTCTAAAGTCCCAATCTGAATACATTTTTATGGTCTAAGTGTACGATTTTGTTTATGATGGAAAAATTATTGATTGTATCACACTACCTGTAAAATGCTAAACAATGTGAAAATAATGTTCTGATACTTGTAATTCTACTGACTTTATATCAGCGGTGGTTTTCACATTTCTTGCTGATTTGCCTATTTAAAACCATTTTTAATATTCAACTCTTGTGTAGTAGTGAATACGCTAGGGATAAGACATACATCATGTCACTCGGATAACGTTTTAAAAGTGAATAATACGAGGAATTACATCAGGTTACCTGGATAACGTTTTAAAAGTGAATAATACGAGGAACTACATTAGGTCACTGGTAACATATTTTATTGAACAAGCTGAGAATATGGCAACTGTGAGGCCACTTGGATAACATGTTTTAGTAAAGAACATACTAAAAATATGACAATTATGTTTTGTTACTTGAAATATAACAATTAGTGGTAGATATCCTAGTGATAAGAATTACACTGTGCCACTTGGGTAACAATGGTTTAGAAACGAACATGTTAGAAATACAGAAGATATACGATGTCACTTAGGTAAAACATTTTAATAGTAAACATTTTGAGAATATGGCAATTGTCAGGTCACTTGGGTAACATGATAATTTAGAGTCAACATACCAAAAATATGGCAATTGTCAGGTCACTTGGGTAACATGATAATTTAGAGTCAACATACCAAAATATGGCAATTGTCAGATCACTTGGGTAACATGATATTTTAGAGTCAACATGCTAAAAATATGGCAACTGTCAGGTCACTTGGGTAACATGATATTTTAGAGTCAACATGCTAAAAATATGGCAACTGTCAGGTCACTTGGGTAACATGATATTTGAGTCAACATGCTAAAAATATGGCAATTGTCAGATCACTTTGGTAACATGATATTTTAGAGTCAACATGCTAAGAATATGGCAATTGTCAGATCACTTGGATAACATGATATTTTTTAGAGTCAACATGCCAAAAATATGGCAACTGTCAGGTCACTTGGGTAACATGATATTTTAGAGTCAACATGCTAAAAATATGGCAATTGTCAGGTCACTTGAGTAACATGATATTTTAGAGTCAACATGCTAAAAATATGGCAATTGTCAGGTCACTTGGGTAACATGATATTTTAGAGTCAACATGCTAAAAATATGGCAATTGTCAGGTCACTTGGGTAACATGATATTTTAGAGTCAACATGCTAAGAATATGGCAATTGTCAGGTCACTTGGGTAACATGATATTTTAGAGTCAACATGCCAAAAATATGGCAATTGTCAGGTCACTTGGGTAACATGATATTTTAGAGTCAACATGCTAAAAATATGGCAATTGTCAGGTCACTTGGGTAACATGATATTTTAGTAGTGAACATTCTAGAAATAGACCAATTATGCTGTTTTACACTTGTAAGCAGCATTCCAGCAGTGAACATGCTTTATGTTTATAGGTAAAAAGTTTTTACATGATAGCATAAAATACTTTCTGATGATAAAGAGTTAAAAACAAAAAGTGAAAATTCATGACTACATTTATAGATTTCAGTTATTTCATCCCACGTTAAAATCGTTATACTTCTCTTATCACACACTGCAAAAAGGATGAGTGAAATTGATATTATTTCCTGAGTGATGCATGCAACATTCAAATATCAGATTACAACTAAAACATTTTCATCTGAAGAAATCTGTAACGAATAAAGTGTGTTAGCTCAAGGACAAGCAACAGAGGGTAATGCCTGTTCCTGAACTTTTTCAGATAGCTTATAGCTAAAACCGTGAGGAGGACAAGGCTAAGGACATAGTAACCTTGAGAACCATAAAACTTTTCTGTAACTTAGACAGGTTTGTTATTTTTACAAAAACCATATTATGAATTATTTTCTGTCAAAAATGTCAGACAATCAAGTAAAAGAAGTAGTAACTGAAACTTTTAAGCTTAACTGTTCAATTTTTGTATATAAAAAACAAACTTTCATGTATTATTTTGCACTTCATCTTCAAGTTATAGTTAACATTACATGCAGAACTTGACCCTCTCTGAAAAATAATGTCGTAAGCTGATGATTTCACAAAATTTCATTCTTAAGCTTAATATGTATCTTCCTGCCTTTAGTTACAGCACTATGATTATTTAAATTAATGGTATATTTTTGTTCCATTCAGTAAACACAGTATATAACTTTTATATAATCAGTCATAGTACTGCCACTGCTATCAGTGTACATTTACATTAATATTAAACATTAAAATATTTAGTAGAATAACTTGCAAGTTTTTGTATTAATTTCTAGGAAAATTATTCTTTCTGCTAGACTCACTTTGACATTCTCACAGAGGATTTAAGTTTTATTTCATACTGATCTTCTAACAAACTGCCAGATAGAGAATTTAAATTTATCTGTACATTTCACAGCTACCTGTTAAATAACCAAGACTAATAAAATTGAGTTCTGACATTCATCATAATATCTCCTTGTCTAAAGACTATGAAAAAGTAATTCTTTATCATGACAAATAAAATAACAAGTATGTATATAGTGCTTCAGACTATATTGGGGTTTTCACCTTATCTTGCTAATGTGTGATTTTAAAACTGTGATTTCATATATGTTTCTCAACCGAAAAGCTGTGACATAGGCCTTTAAAGCAATTTATTAAACACGTTTGCTACATGTACATGTTAAAAACTTGGTAACGATCCATAAACATATAATAAAGTAAAAAACATTTACTATTCATCTAGTATAAAAACTTAACATTTGGATTATTTATCTATTCATTAAAGTGAGTAGTCTACAACGGTAGTTAGGATATATAAACACTTCAAGCCATTTCCAAATATCTATCTATCTATCATACTACTATATATATATATATATTTGTCAAGCCAACGAACATCTAAATGGTAATATTCACTGTAATTGCATAGGTAGGCAATACTTGATAACCAGCAGAAGAACTTTATTATTTAAATCTACAAGTTTTAAAGTAACAGGAAAACATGTAAACGTCAACAACTGTAATTTCTGTTGTAATGTCCACAACAACCACAATAAAGTTGATTCTCATTCATCGCTTTCTTATTATACAAATTTTAATTTGTTAAAAACATGGAAATGTCATACAGAAAATGCTGTATAGTCACATATTTATATAGGAATACCAGTCTCAGATCTAGGAACTGATGACAGGTCATTCCCATGATGAAATACTTTGTTCATTTTACTTCTTGAAACAAATCTAGAGGAATTTAGCATCTCAGAACAACCTACAAAAACTTCATCACTTTTATTACTAGTGAAATAAAATATATAAATGACAGTTGGTCACTTGTTACCCATGAATTACCACTGAAATTAGGTATATCAGTGACAGTTGGTCATTTATTACCCATGAATTACCACTGAAATCAGGTATATCAGTGACAGTGGGTCACTTCTTACCCATGAATTACCACTGAAATCAGGTATATCAATGACAGTTGGTACCTTGTTACCCATGAAATCAGGTATATCAGTGACAGTGGGTCACTTCTTACCCCCATGAATTACCACTGAAATCAGGTATATCAGTGACAGTTGGTCACTTCTTCTTACCCTTGAATTACTCGTTGCTTCGCTAGGGTTATTGGATGTCGTTTTAAAACTAGGACTGTTCTAGTTTTATTTGGTTAATTTTTTTTCTCCAAATCGGGAACATCAAAAATACTAAATTTAAGCAGCTTCTCTGAACCTCGGTGCAAGTTTAACATGTATAATTTGTCACTATGCACAGCTCTTAAATTTCAGTTAGAGAATCATCTGATCCTACAGTACTGAGTTCCCTTCTTCTCTGCTATGTTTTTTGACATAGCTTGTCATTAGTCAACTACAGGAACCGAGACTTGAAGATGTGTCCAGACGTGAAAGACAAATGAAAGAAGTAACCTTTTTCTATTGAGTGGGTTTTAGACAACTTGGTCACATTTTCTATTTTATTTATCTATGGCTTTAAAACATGATGCAATGAACATCAGATTACTTATGAAATGTAAAAAAAAAATGTTTTATTGTAATATAAACTGTTACAGTATCACTCTGTAAAGGCAAAAAAGTCCCGGTTTTTCACTCTGGAAATCTGGTAAACCCTATGCTTGCTTTATAAACAAACACATATATACACAAATATATAATGTTAAATGTCTTGATTCCACAAATCAAAATTGTGTTATTATAACACACAGATTAGTAATACTAGCCACATTTTGTTAACTGATCATTTAATTATTCTGAAATTCAAATATCAATGATACAAAAACCTTTAGGTAGCCAATTAATGAATATTACCTTCCGATCAGAGCAAGCTATGTACTTATAGCAAAAATAAAACTCAACCTGTTCATCAGTATAGCTAATTAAATATACCTTTCTTGCATTTCTACTTATAAAGATTAGAAATGCATTATTTCATCAGCTGGCTACCCTTGCTGTTAACATTTTAATGATATTCTTATGAAAAATGAAATTAGGCAAAATGAAAGGTATAAAAAAGCTAACATAAGAAAATCCAGAACAATCTTTGATAAGTTATAGTAGACCTCGATTAAACAGGTCAAAGTAATAATGCTAGAGAACCACCACATATTTATCATAACATTCTAATCAAAGTTTTGATATGTTATGCAGCTAATGTAGCTGCAAGCTATAAGCTAAAACAGTCACGTGAACATACAGGAAGAAAGAAAAACTTACAGAGTCAAGAACAGGATACTTTAATTGAGAATGAACATTGTCGTTAGTCCTACAAACAGGCAGCATGCCTATGTGTTTCAGGTGTTTTTTTTCTCTGTTAAAACTATTTCCTACAGTCTGTGAATGGGCTGTATAATTTCTTTCTGCAGTCTCTACAAGGTTTTTTATCTTGGGCTTGGCTCGTTTCTCCCATCTGGTATAGATATTCTGAAGGTTCTGGATAAGTTCTACCATGGCTACCCTATTTATGTAGAAAAAGAAAAATGTATAGATGCATTCTTGTTTATATTACAGATAACTGCATGTACACTATTCATCTTCAGAGAAGTATGAAAATACACAAACATGAGAATGAAACACTCCATTTTGAACTAATCACAAACTATGTGCTCTGAAAACTTTCTTACATAAACACATATCAGCAGTCTGACTTATCAAACAAGGTTTGTAGTTCATAGCTTCAACAAACTTCACCCATGTTTTGATTTACAGGGGTGAATATTCTTCCAAACAAGCACCCTAAACATATGGGAGTAGTTTTGAGATTTTCGATATTCAGGAAGAATTCTGGGTCAGGTCATAGAAAAAAAAGGGAAACTAGAAGAAAGAAAAGCAATGAGAGAGAATAGAATAGGGGAATGAAACGTTTATTGTATACTAGGTTTTGTCACTGAAACTGAATAGTTATTTTACTGCTGTCAATCAGTCAAATCCAGTGAAATATTTGATTTTTGAAAGAATATTTACCCCTGTTGATCTACTGCAAAAATCATTAGGATCACCTGATGAACATATTAGCAGATCACAACTTTTCAAACAAGCTCCAAACAGAAGGGCGAAGTCTGTTAAATCTCCCTTAAACAATATAGGCACATAACTCATCACAGACATTTTACAAGTCTCACATGACTAGAAGTTCAAAGAGAAAAAATGTCTTATTTTTATTACTAACAGTGTATGAAAATACCCATTCTCGATTTAATACTATTATCCTTTTTCTCCTCTGCACGCGTAGGTTTAGAAACTACTCATATCTAATACCCAAATTTTACATGAACTTATCAAGTCCAAGTTTTAAAATAAGTTCCATGTACATATATGTAAGACCATTTTCACAAAGGTAGAAAAGCAAGTAATTATAACCTTATCTGTCTGCCATGAAAGCTGAAAAACTAAGTTCCACCAAAAAAGTATTCTCCTATTCCTAATATATGTAACTTGCATATATCTTTGATAAAGATAATATATTAAATACAGGTGGTGAAACAAATTTAAATTGGGGCAAGACACCTTATTTACTATGTTAACCATGATCGGGTGAAATATTGACTTTCCATGATAATTAAAGGCAGGCCTCTTATTTCCCATTAAAAGGATACTCTGCTACCAGTTTCCTCATGTATTTAGTTATTTACTGAACAACTCATTAGAAATTTTAATTTCCTGCTCGTAATGAAGCAAAACCACCTCCAAAGATTGTTAGCTTCATCATGTAACTAAGTTTACCAAGTGACAAAACTGGGAATTAATGAACGAGTCTCATTTCCTCAGAAGAATTAATGTTTACACTCTAGGTAATGTTGAAATTGCCCTGATATGTCTCAATTAGTAGCACACTAAGAACTGGCAACTATTTTCTTTACAATTCACATACTTTTAAATTCTCTGTTCATACGTTTACTTGGAAAGCTTTTTTAGGTTAGTGTGTTACTCATGTGAAGGTTAAATGTTCATGAATGTGGCATTTCAATTTTCATCTGACTCATAAACAAACAGTGAATCTAAGTTGTATTCCTGTACAATTTCCAATTAATACTACTATGTTCATTGAATTTAATACTTATTTACATCATGAAAGATGTACCACACATCAAACCCACAATCTAGATCTCACTAACACTAATACCTAAACATAAACAAACAGTGAATCTAAGTTGTATTCCTGTACAATTTCCAATTAATACTACTATGTTCATTAAATTTAATACTTATTTACATCATGAAAGATGTACCACACATCAAACCCACAATCTAGATCTCACTAACACTAATATCTAAACAAACAGTGAATCTAAGTTGTATTCCTGTACAATTTCCAATTAATACTATTATGCTCATTGAATTTAATATTTATTTACATCATGAAAGATGTACCACACATCAAACCCACAATCTAGATCTCACTAACACTAATACCTAGACATAATAATATATATAAATTAAGCACACTCAAATAGGGAAAAGAAAACCCCAAAATACTTTTAAAAGGCTTCTCAGTGGCACTTTAATAAAATAACTCATAAGTCCTCTAAACCTCAGATAATAAACACCAGAAAGTATATAAATATGACTGGGCATCAACATATATACTAGCTTTTTTTACCACCCATATTTTCATTTTGTTGAGTCATATTCAGAGATTGAGTGTGAAAAATTGGGACCCCCCCCCATATGGAATGAAACTGTAACAGCCCACATTATAGTTTAAATAACAATACATCACTTTTTACTGTTTGCTAAATATTATGGTTTATTGCATTGTGTTTTAAAATCATAGACAAATAAGATTATTTAAAAGCTCAACTAGATAACAGGGTAAGAAAAAATTTGCCCAAATTGTCTTGAATGTACTCTAAAGAAAAATGTTGCTTCTTCACGCTCTTTTTTGCCACAGGGTAGTAATTCAAATTTCAATTCCAGAGGCTGCCCAATGACAGATTAGGTTAAGAAAACGTAGCAGAGAGAGAGAGAGCGAATTTTTATTCATATCACAATTTCACACTACTTTGCCCCTCCCCCGTGGAAAACTTTGTCCCTCCCTAGAAAAATTTCTGAGGACGGCCATGTATAATAATTATCCAAATAAAATTTAAATAAGTCATGTATAATGACGATCTTTACATATAAAACTCATATACTGACGTAAAGAGAAACTGGGACAAGTTAACCTTTTTTATTCTTACTTACCGGAACGACAAAAGAATAAGGCTAAAACCCTGAACGTCTGGTAACCCTAGTCGTGTTTTACTGTAGTATGCCCCTGTGAAATTAAATTTTTATTATTTAAGCTTTGACGTATCACCTTGTGTTTGTAAAAGTTCTTCGGCTTTCCTCATCTAGCTGGCAATCTACACGCGGCCCAATACTAAACACGTTGATGAAACAGTGTGCCGGTTCTTCGTGTTGTGACGTCATCAAAGGGAAATCAAGGCAAGTGCAACAACATTTCTTCGTCAAGAACCTTCCCGCCAAGATACACACCTTAGATCACATCTTCGCACAAAGATATAGCTGTTTAATACTTAAAAAACTGCACAACGTACCGAAAAAATAATAAAATTAAATTCATTGTTAGTAATCTTTCGAAATGAATTTAAATAATGAAGGCGATTTTATGTGAAGTCTATTCTGTGCTTCCCTGGCCTAGATTACGTAAGCAATTCCCGTAGTTCTCGGTCATTTATCGCGTGATCAAAGCTGAGGCCTAGATTGTGTCAGTTTGTTTACGATTTTTTACTAGGATACTGGAAATGTAATGTTCAGTTAAAATAATAATAATTCAGTGATTTACTAATTAGTTAGTTCCAAAATTAAACGGGGGTTTAGTTCTATTTACTATATTACGAAACAATCCTACCTACTTATTTTGTTATTTATCTACTGAATCAAATGTTTCAAATTATCTTGGCCAGTAAGGTTCATAAGTATTAGCCCTGGATATGATAAAAGCTGTAAAATTAAGTTTTTTATCTTTCGTACGTTGATGCAAAGCTACACAAGACTACTTGTCCTAATTGGTAGACTAGATGATGGGGCAGTTTGTCGACTCATCCTCTGCCAACCCTCGAGCTCTCCGATCGAAAAGTAGCATTTAAATAATCACTCTTATAACTCACCCACGACGTTAAAGTGCTGTGCGCGATTTTGCGGTTGCAGGACGCGACAAGCGGACTTTCGGATTCACAGTTTAGGTAAACTCACCCTGAGCCACGCCCAGCCCCTGAAAAATGAGATTCAAAGTCTACTTTATACTACTCAGTCGATAATTCGATACAGTCCTGCATCAGCTATAAATTACAACAAACAAACGAATCTGATCTTCTCACACTTTGACCAGATCAACGAGTTTAGTTAAAAGTTTAAGTCCCCTTGCAAAAAAATATTACACGTCTTAAATTCAACAGTTTGTTCAAGGCTAGGAAAAGTATTAATATCACACCAATACCTCACTCAACACATATTACAAAGCCTAGCTTCCTGTACACTAAAAGCTGTCAGTGTTGCTTGCCAAGTGTACGTACACAAACACTGAGAAATATGAACAGAAGAAAGTAAAACAACAAAAAAGGAGTTCTTTCATTACATGCAGATTTTACAATGAGATATTGAAAATGTAAGCTGCTAAACTCAGCTCAATCTAGGGGGCGGGGTGTGGGGGTATGTCCCCCAGAAAATTAAGATAATACAATTTACAGTTTCTATATAAGTCAGTTATGTAAAAGTGAGGATGCTATAGTAGTTACGACGTCTCTGGGGGTATCATGACCACTTTGCGGTAGACGAGGGGGAGGAGTAGGAAGAATCATAGATTTTACCGAAAACATTATTTTGAACTAGTCTAGTCGCAACTCGCACACTTTTACATAAAATAACTGCAGCATGCAATAAAAAGCGTCGAAAATTGTAATCACAAACTTGTATTTCTACAAATTATGAAAGTATGCAGATTGAAATATATATATATATATATATTGTTACATCCCTGGTTGTTTGTTAATTTCCCGTAGAAATTCTTTCCGAGAAACTTCAGCGATACAAGTTCTTTCTTAATTAAAACTAGTTTCTTCTTTCTGGATACAACTTTGCAAGACACTTAATTTCCACAGTCACTTTAAATTAAACACACGCTATAATTCACAACGATTCAAGCA